GAGGAGGAGGAGGAGGAGGAGGAGGAGGAGGAAATCAATTCCACAATTGCATCTTATGTGTCAGCAACTTGGAGATTTCAGTTAGGAAACCTGAAATGGACATATAATGGAGAGTATTGTAGTGTTTGTACCTTTGATGAATATGCAGTGGTACTAATTTTGCATATAATTTGTGTTTTTCAAATCTAGCTTCTGCTAAATTAAGAGATGGGTATGTGATTTAAGTGTGTATATTTCATTTTCGGTCACTTGTACATTTTCCCTTAAAGATTCATCCGGTTTCCATATCAGTTTGCCAATCGTTTTTATTTATTTTATTGATTTGAAAAATCACCCAACATAATTAAAAGAGAAAAGGACATGTATGACTAGATTAAATCACCCAATATATTACATAATTAAGGGAAGGAAAAGTAAAGGTTCCCCTCGTACATATGTCCTAGTGATTCCTGACTTTAGGAAGTATAAATAGCAAAATAGAACTTTGTTCAGCAATTGTCTTGGAAAACAAAACTAAGGAATTGTTGCAATATTTCTAATTGAGCTTCAGATTTCTGACACAGTTTTCCTGAGACTTCTGGATAATATGCCATACAAAACGTGGCCTTTGTTTCTCTTCGCTCTTCTTGGTTCTGGCCATGGCCAATATGAGGAATGGTTAAGGGATCTAGCTTATCAAAAAGAGATTTTAGAGAAGACATGACAGCTGTCTTCCAGTACTTGAAATGCTGTCACAGACAAGAGAGGATTGACTTATTCTCCAAAGCACTAGAGGGCAGGTCAAAAAGCAATGAGTGGAAGTTTGTTAAAGATACATTCAACCTAGAACACTGGTGGGTTCTGGATCCTGTTCCAACCGGTACGGCTGGAATGGGCCCAGCGTTGTTCACATGGATGCGTGTGGCGTGTGCATGTGTTGTAGCTGCAAATGACACTTCCGCAAGCCTCCACAATGTTCCAGCTGCTCGGCGGAGCATCGCGCAGGTGTTGTACGTGCCATGCAAATGCACAGAAGCGCTGAAGGCTTTAAAACACAGTAAAGAACTCGGGTGGGCGGGTAGGCCCTCCGGAGCACCGTACCAGAATGGTACCTGGTGCTCCGGGCAGGCTCCGGTAC